AGAGAGAGAGAGAGAGAGAGAGAGAGAGAGAGAGAGAGAGAGAGAGAGAGAGAGAGAGAGAGAGAGAGAGAGAGAGAGTCCATCAACTTCTTGGCAAACTTTTCATTTTTATTGCGGGCGTAGCCGCAACAGGTCCCCTAGTGATTATTGACAATCATCAGCAGGTTGACATCTATCTGGGCTTGCATTGTTGACAAGTGTCTTCACGATCTGGGTTCATTGCATCCTTTTGAATTTGATCATTATCCTGTGTGGCAATAATTATTGTCACGACGGACCTGAACCCACATACCATGCATAGTGGATGTGTAACTCGGTTTGCATGGCATCCAGATGTCCAGGCCTGACCTAGACAAGGTGATTGCTCCCAAAAATGCTGTTATTGTTGATATCATTGCTTGGCATTGTTTATAAGTTTTGACATGGCCTTTGGCCACGAGTATTCGTATTCTGATGCTGCACAACTTTTTTTTCCCCCAGCTGTTTTCTACTCTTTAAGTTCTTAACTGAAAGATGGCAATTCAAAGCATATATTTTTAACAGATCATCCAGGTACCAGTATTTGGACAACAGTGCCCAGACAATCCACATGGTTGTCGATATGTTCTTATTGTAATTATCATTAAATTGTGGAAATAAAAATGGAAACAATGCATTATTCTTTCACCTGCAACCGTCTGCGAATCTGAGTGCAAGGCATATAACAGTCCATTTTCTTAGCGTCTTTTGACTTCACTGGGGCAGTTTTGTGTTGAAGACTACGTAGAACCTTAGCAAGCCTTGCAAAGCAAATGTCACAGGGCCTGATATTACTTAGTGGGTTCATGAAGAGGATGCTTGAAGCATGTTGTCTGTCTGGAGCAAGTCTGGCAGTTGAGGCGGTCATCCCGTCAAACTGCAGGACCAGATCCAATGTTATGCCCTTGGGCTGGCATTTTGGTTTCGTTGGATGAGAAAATCAGGTAGTGCAAAATGCCACTGCCGATCAAATCTATCAATAGGCTGTAACCTTCATGTTGCAAGTGCAGGTGCTATACACAATCTCATTGTTTGACACAGATGGCGCCCTGATTACATAGGACGGGAGACTGGTTCGTCTGAGCTTTTAGCCGCCGCACAGTGTGGACCTTGTTCCATGAACTTTGGAAGCCCGTGCCTTTGTGTTCCTGTGAAACCACGGTGCACAATCTTGCATGGCTGACATGGCAAGTCAGTGCTACAGAAATGGCATATAACTGAATTGCTTAGCAGTCTTCTCTCTGTGTGTGTGTGTGTGTGTGTGTGTGTGTGTGTGTGTGTGTGTGTGTGTGTGTGTGTTCTCCTTGTTTCTGTTTCTCACATGTCAGTCCCCTCTCAGGGGTGAGTACTTAAGCATGCAATAAACTCAGTTCATGGCCACCCTGTCGTGGGCAAGGGTCGTCACTTTTGGTCAAAAGGCCAGATACAGGGGTCAAAGGTCATGTCCCAAGTCTGAGAAATGTCTAGGAAAAGGGCCTAATGTCAAGGGGTATCAGGGCCTGCATCAAAAACAGCATCCAGTGCTCCCAAGTGAGGTAGTTGACTCTTGGAAAATCAGGAGTCAGACCAAGCAAGGGAAAAGAAGGCCCAAAGTCAAAGTCAACCCAGTAGTCAGCCCCGACCATAGATCAGGTGCACATCAATGGTAGTCTGCAGGTATCCGGAAGTTTCCAGTCCCGACTGGGAAGAGGTACCGCTGCTTCAATGCTGCATCCAGGCCGTCGAGATCGGGCAAATCTGAAGCGTTGACAACATCAAAGGGGAGACCGGTCCACGGCAGCCAACACTGGTCAATGCTACGAAAGGACAGTCAGACACTGGGGAAGGCATTCTGCCTTGTGCTGGCTTGATGCTAGTGCTGATCGCAAGGCTGCTGGAGTGCGATGCTGGTGCCAGATGCAGCTGGAGGGCCCCAGCCTAGAGGGAGATTATGTTGGCGCGGCCATAGCTGCATAGCTGTAGACTAGCTGATGAGGTTTGGCGACGAGGAGGAGGATCAGGGCTGTGAGACTGACGGGAGATGGAGGGACGCTTACCTGGACTTACCTGGCGATGACACGTGTGATCTGCTGCTGGTCTCCACGATGGTGAGGAAGTGCTGCGACATCCTCCATTTCTTGTTGCTGACGTGGTGGGAGGATGGGCGCCCTTCTATGGTCTGCACAGTAATTGTGTCAGAGGACGTCAGAGGGATCCATTGCTGAGGTGGTGATAGGGGAGAAGCCCAAAGTGGAAGCGGGAAAGATCGAGAGACATACATGTGCTATGGTTTACTATTGAGATTCTCCTGCTCTTCTCTGTCTTTCCTCTATTCTTTCTCTCCTCTCATGCTCTTTTTTTATGGGACGATGCTCTTGAATTGTGCATATGATCAAGACATGGACTTGTAATTGATCTTGGAGACTCGATGAGGTGCGCTGGGTTCAGATTTCTATTGTATTGCTGACTGGCTTCTCAACGAGACTGGGTTCATTACATGCATGCTTAGAGCCTGAGTACTTCAGATGCACAAGGCGCTAAATCTTTGTTGGTGGTTGCTTTTTTTTCCTGCAGGTGTCCATGCGGAATCAAATTATACAGCAGCCAGTGGTGCACAGACGCATTCTCCTTCTCCAGCACCAGTGTCTGCTTCTGCACATCCTCCCGCTCCAGCTCCTGCTGTAAATAGCTTGCAAAGCGCAACAGGGAATACCCCTGTTCCAAATTCAAGCCCTACTCCTGCTGACAGGAACCCTGTGACGAACATCAAGTGGAATGAGAGCCAGGTCAGTCGGCGAGAGCGAGAGCGCGTTCTCAATCAGAGGGGTTGCATAGTGTGGCTCACTGGCCTGAGTGGTTCAGGTACTAGCATTGCTACCTTCATGTTTTTGGTTATCTCTATTGACCGGTTTGGTACACAGACTTTGAATAATGATTTGCATGTGCGCATCCTGCCACTGGTAATGGTCTAGTGGATATTAGCTGTCTAGATTCCACAAGCTGTTGGGGGTTCTTTGAAAGTTACTTTGCCAGACCATACTTTACACGTGTTCTTGTAAGATTATACACACAAGTTGAATGCGCGCTGCTGTGATGCCGAGGCAGGAAGATGCTGAGATGCACACTTGTTTGTGTTTGTTCGTCCATATATTGTAGTCTCTGTTTTTCTTTCATGTCACAGAATGTCTCATGTACGGCAATAACTATTCTCTCTCTCCCTCTCCCCCCCCCCCCTTTCCCTATCTCTCATGAACCTGTTCACTGCCTTGCGTGGATGTATCGGACCACAAATACATCCAGAAACAGTATTTATGCCCTGAGAAAACAGCTCTGAACAGGTGTGCTATGTACTCGTATTCGAACAACTGTGCTGCAAAAAACTACAAACTAAACAAATCACCCCGCAATCTGGGATGTGAGTCCACAACTATGTGCACACATGGGATGTGTGAGAATGAGTTGCAGTCTGTAACATATGTTTTGTACTTCCATGGAAAAAAAGGAATCACAAAGTGTTAAGAATCTTAAGATAAATATTAGAATTTAGAAGTAGCAAAACTTGCGTTGCATTTCGTACCAACATAATGAAGGCTTTTTTCGCGCTCGCGCCTTCGGTAAGCGCTGAAAACAACGCTAATTCGCGCTCGCGTCCCTCGGCACCCCGCCTCCACGCTGGCGAGGGTGCCAACTTCGATTTTCAATTTTGAACGTCGAGCTCGCGTCGCGATGGTGCACGCGACAACCCCGTTCCTGGAAAACGACACACAAACTGATCCTCCCACTCAAGTGCCCTAGCCAGAGTCGGGCGTCCCGAAGAGGACTCACACGCGCGCGCGCCCCAAGCACAGGGCAGGAAGGGCACAATAAGGACAAGGGACGCAAGGACGAGTTCGGTATCTAGCCGAGGACTGGGACAAATGGAGGACTTGACGCGGGAAGTAAGGAGCAGCTCACCCCAGGCGAGAGCGGGCAGCAACAGAGACAAAGAAGAGCCTTCCAAGTGAGCACTCAAGTAGCAATCGAAGGGCAGTGTCCGTTTCCAAAACCGCCTGAAGCACAACTCCCCAAGGGCAGACCATACGAAGAAGAAGAKCGCTCCTCTTYAGGAAACCGCCCAACACGCAACAACACGGCAATGTAAGGACAACAAACGGACAGCGAGGCTGCTACAGCACGGGACATGAAGTGAGAGCTAACCGAAAGTAGAAATACCACCTCTCCCTTACCCCCCCTCTCCCATCCCCCTCCCACCCCTCGTCTTTTCCATCTTATAGAACGATCGATCCTACCAATCCTCACGGGATTTTTCTTCAAATAATTCCTCCTTACCTCTAATGCGGACAAATCAAACACCCCCCCACAACCCACCCCCCTCCTTTTTACGTCACCCCAATTCTCCCACCAAACCGTCCTAATTTATCTCACCACCAACCTCCACCCCGCACCGACCTTACACTGACACAACACTCCCACCACAGAGTACCATCCCCTCTCTTCGCTAAGGCTCCTCTCACATCCGATTCCCCCCTTATCCCCCCCACAACGCCTGACCTCCCCCCCTCCCCTCCCCAGCTTCCCATCTCCACGGATACCCACAATCACTAGGGCACAAAGAATCCACCTCCCCCTTCGCCCAATAACTCTACACAGCAGCATACCCAACATCGCCTCCTGGCCCCCCCACTCACAATCCCAAGCATCAAATACCCGAAACTATTTCCCTCCTCCTCCCAGAACAA